TATAAGATATTTAAAAATTAAATTAAAATAATGAAGATGGTCGAATCTTGAAAAAAACACCCTTAACGCCTTCATACCTTAAATTTATTTAAGTGGACCACATTTCGAACATAGTCTGGTACATTTTCAAGTCCATAACCTTGAAATCAAGATGCATATGCATCCTAAAATACTGTGAATTTTTTGTTTAACATTATTCTTAGGGAACAGACAGATTATTTTAAATGGATAGAGTCTGTATTTAAGTTCTTATTTTGAATAGTTTAAGTTTCTTGCTGTTTATGTATATTTATTTTTAGTCTTATATGGTATGAATGTGTTCATATCTCACTATAATTATTGTTCACGTGATAGATTATTATATAACTTTTTGTTTAACATTCCTTATTTATTTATTGAGCATTACAACAATCTGTCACTTGGAGATTAGTTATAGTGAGGTAGGATAACATTAAAACTATGTGTACAAAAAAATATAAAATAAATAGAAGCAAAATAACAATAAATAATAATCAAAATGTATATACAATAAATAAAATAAAATAATTTAAAAATAAGAAAATTAAAACAAAGCAAAAATCACTAAATAAATAAATAAATAAATAGTATTATAATTTTGTTGTTGTTCTGTTTAATTTATTTTTATTTATTGTATATACGGTGTGAATGAACTTTTGTATCGTTATTACTCACGGCCTTAGTTGTGTCAGAATGTAATATTATTCAATAAAGAAATGATTATAAAAAAAAAAAAATGGAAATTATTGTTTTATAGAACTGGGAATTATTATTTTAAGTTTTAAGCATCGTTCCTCTATCATATTCAAAAGATGAAATAAACTGCCTATTTCTCATTTAAAGGAATATTTTTTTCGTTCAACTTAGTACGAATCAAAAATAAAGAAATTATGTATACTAGAATAAACTAAAATATATTATCAATAGTTATGTATATTGTACTGGACATTGACAATTTTGAATCATTTTCTAAAAAAAAAAAAAAAAAAAAAAAAAAACGATTTACACAACTAGTTTTTCATGACCGCGATAGACATATCCGAGTTATTAGTCGATCAATGGATGTAGGTAACAAATCTATGTGTCAGCCATAACTCATTAGATGAAAAAAAAAATGTCAAACCCATTTGTGCTTGTCGATATCTTTCTTCAAGCGCGACCTAGTTTGCGAGTTCCCTTCTCAGTAGGCGAGACATGGGAGGGCAACGAGTCCACTTCATTTCTAATGAAGCCCTTGGGGAAACCTTCTTCACGATTTCCTAGAACGTTTTCTTTTTGCTTTTTCAATTCACTTGAGAGGTTGTTTTTAAAACAGTGATTGAAAGTCAAAAACATTATCATCGGTCATAGAGTGTTCAGTCAATATTGAGAATAAATTGAAAACGACGATCCATCTCTGTGTTTTCCCTCAATACGACTTTCACACAAAATGAAATTTGTAACTCAATTGAACAACAAGAGTGCAATAAATAACATGGGGTCAAAACTGGTTGTATTTATCAATTATGCAACCGAATTGTCTCAAGTGTGTGCCTAATATTCAAGATATTGAATTATTATTTAATCGTTTTTCCGCGAAAGAAAATGAAAACCATGGGTTATTATTACGTTTACGAGAGTATTAGAACTAACGAATGCTCCTCCATTTATACCACACCAAGCCGTACCAGGAAGCTTTGGCACGTGATAAGTAGAGGAGATAAGTACCCTAAAAAATTATTATATGGCAAACCAGGAGGCCCAAAAAAAGAAGAGGAAGGTCTGGACTACGATGGATTGATAGAGGTGGAGGATGGTTTGCAGAAGATGAGAAAATGTTTGCAGATTTATTGACATTAAAATCATCGATTTTATAATAAATAATAAAAAATACAGTAGCTATTTAATATAAAATTTAGACTGAACATATTTTTGTTTCATGATATTTACAACTGCATTAGAATATAAATAATAAATGTGAATAAAAAATAGTAAATGTGAACAATTGAGTATAATATCATGATAACACTTGTTGAGAAACTACCCACTGGTAGTTTAATAATATGTCTCCATTAGGAGATCAGACTTCTTTTCAGACGCCTCGGAGGGTTATCAGGAATCGAAGAGGAAGTAAGGTTAAAAACAAGAGGGTTGGGATGGTTCTGAAGTTTTTTATGGAAGGATAGGTATCTGGATTGAGTCAAATCTGAACATAAGGAACATTAAGGTCGTATGTATGATTTTATTTGTATCAAAGTAAGGAGCATTATGGATTTTATGAAGGATTGGATTCGAGAGGAATTCGATGGTTTAGTGGAGCACCATTCCGTAAGTCCGAACAAGCCTTATTATAGTCATGTATATGAGTCGTTTGAAATTAATTTTCAGTTTAGAGCGTTTGTCAAGTAAGTGCTGAAGTAATCAGCAACCTCGAGCGGTTTCTTATCATTTTACTCTGGTATGAGGATTAGTCGTTTGTCAAGGTGGAGTCCTAGGTATTGGAATGTTCAACAGAAATAAGTGGGGTATGGTTAGAGGATGTAGTAGGACAGGAAGTCATAGGTTTAAAGGTTAGGTTGGATGGGATTTATTCAAATTTATTTTAATCGTCCAGTTTTGACACCATTCTTCAAGGTTTGTGGTGCGTGATTGAGGAGTTTGGGATGCAATTGTTGGATCATTATTAACTGACAGGATACATGTGTCATCGACATAGGTGGTGATGACTGTGTTAGGATGGTTTGGGATTTCAGCTGTATAGACAGTGTAAAGGATTGGGCCAAAGATGCAAACTTGAGGAACACCAACAGATTAAGTGGTTTGCAATAAACCGACGATTAATTCTTTCATGGTCATTCTATTACCATAACACATTTGATGTAAGCCGAAACAAATATACAGTAAAAATAATTTGACTACCCATTTTACTTCCCGTCATCTAGGTCTATTTATCGGAATCGCAGAGATGTCTGCTTTTTTGGTTATTCGTTCATCAACTAGCCCAATGGCAATATCTGTCTGTTTCCTCGGTTGGTTCAACGCCTAAATCAACATCGCCATGCAAATTTGGGATAATATTTTCATAATTACGTCACACAATATACTTCGTAAGTTTGACATTGAAAATACCCACACGGCTTAATAAGCTAAAACATTCCGTGATCCAGTCCTGATTTATCAATGCTTATTCCGAACACGACAAATGGATTCGTGAGGCGCTGATTGGGACTCCAAGAGATCAAGATTAGGCAGATTAGAGACATCCATTATTCCATTTATATGATACCATTATCGATTCATGGCGAATTGTTTCATCACTTTTCATTTTATTTATTTAACTCTTTTTTTGTCGTTTCCATCATTTGACTCTATTGATAAGAATCGAACCATTCTAAATATAATCACGCTAGAGAATCGTTGTTGATTCGTTGATCAAATCATGAATAATGCATTGATTTAATCAGAGTCGAGAATCCAACGAGTGGCTCGCGAGACATTCAAGTGCATTTGCGTGTTGCGGAATCTGTCAGACAAAGAACAAACGTTTCGTACATTATTTATTTAAAATAAATTACATGTTACATTGCTTATATTTTATTTATTTTTACAACACAAATAAAACAAGGGAAGGCAAGGTGAGATAGTTATCTTCTTCCAACATAGAAAATATTTAAAATAAACTAGCAATAAATATAAAAAATCTGGTGCGTGCATCACACGGCTTTCACTTACCATCCTCTTCTAAGCAGAATCAAGTATTTTCAGACAAAGGGGAAGTGAAAGTAAAAATTATAGACGCTATATTCATTTACATTTCATTGTGGGTATTTTTATTAGTTTAAATAACCTTATATATACAAATTTTATGTTTTATATCGCAGTGTTCTATAAAATTAATAACAACCATAGCATTAATGAAAACTCACACACAGACCATTTTGCAGGACTTGGCTATTTGGACACAGGCGACCTCAAAACATGTATTTACGTTGAGAACTCAGATTCGAAAATATTCATGATCGCATTCCTGTCTTTTACTATATATTTCTTATATAGATAAGTGAAAGTAAAAATAATTCAATAGCTAGCAAAATATGTTGTGAGTAATTTATTTGTGCACTTCAGTAAATTTAGAATTAAAAAAAAAATATATATAGATTAAATACTTTTTGGTTTATTTACAGTTTTTTTTTATTTAAAATTTACGATCGTTCGGACCATGTATCTCTATCACATGTAATTCAAAATACTATTTTTGCAAACACTAATAAATTGAGCATTGGGAAGTGAACCCTCATATACAATTGCTTATCATATATTATATACACATATAATTTAATCTCTGTAATGGACTTCTAACAAACAGACATTATTATATTTGAATTTATAATCATTTGTAAATTATAATCATTTGTATTTATAATCATAATTATTATAATCATTTGTAAAAATATTATTTAAAAAAAAATTTAATTACAGCTTATATTAGGAATCTAGAAGGTTAGACTGCTTCGTTGAAACACAAGTTAAATTTGATTAAAATTTATCGAATCTTTTGAAAGACATAGTGTACTTGAAATAGTTGTTATATTTTCTCAGAGGACCGAGAACTATCAATAAAAAAATTGTCTGATTTTATTAAGGGACGTTAAAAGAAAGTATTACTTAAAGTATAATGAATCAATAATCATTAGATGCGAATCGTTTATCTGTAATGGTTATGATCAATTTTCCAAGGTCGAATAAAAAGGAGTATGATATTCACTATCAATAATTAAAATTACTAATGGAAGAAAAAAGTTTAATCTAAATGAGCCAACTTCAAATTGTCAACTTGGCAATATCGTGTTGTTGATTAAATTTAAAAACTTTAGAATGTTTAGTCCAGACAATAGTATTTGAAATTGGTTTATTTTGAAACTAAAAGGGTGTTTACAAGAGATTACCCATATTATTCAATTTGGACCGTGCAATAATTAGTTTCAATGCAATTGATAACTTACTCGTTGAAGAACTTGAGATAGGGCGAACCACGTCTAAAGGCGAACCCCAAGTAGAATTCGGTGAAGCAGTAGGAAGATACCTCGTATGCTTTGAGGACGTTGTCTTCTATGTCCTCGTCCATCAAAGAGAAGATGCCGAAGGTGTAGATGCCCATGACCACGTTGTCTAGCTTCCTTAAGGCATTGTGAAGTTCCTCTTGAGTCTTCACTACCCTGATCCTCCGGGTCCACTCCTGGTGCACTGGATCCTAGCAGGAAGGGAGAGGTTCAATATTAGCATAAAGGAGGTCTACGCGGTACTTCTTTTATTTTAAACTAAATTTCTGCATAATTTAACATATTGTTCATAGATTAAAATTTTGACGAAGTCTTCTCTCAGATGGGAATTAATGAAAAAGGACTAAAACATTAATGAGAAGAAGTATAGTTCTCTGTAATTAAAAAATGAGTCGGCATCTCAATAAAATTTCATAGTTTTCCAAAACTGTTCCCAATAGTACACCTATACCAAATCTCGTGAAGACCTGAGATGGTAAGGTTAATATTGTATTGATTTGACATGTTATGAATCATTTAATAGGGTTTGTGTTATTGTGGTGGACTTAATAACTTTTTGCTTTGATAAATGTGATATAAATTCACTAATATGTATATATAATTTCAGTTCAATTAAAAGTTTTACATATTTTTTCTTTTTCTAATAATTCGACGATAATAGATTGATTAAGATACGTCATAGTTTATTTTTTTTTAAATAATTTTATTATGGTATAATACATTTTACTACACTTAAGTGTACTGAGTATTAAAGCTGTAAGGTACCATTCATACCATATTTACAATATAATAAAATTTAAAAAATGAAATACATAAAAATAGATATATATATAAAAGATAATAATGTATATATAACAAAAATAAATACTGTAGTAAAAACAAAGAAATATAGCTTATAGTGAAATAATACAGAAAATTATTAAAAAAAAAAAAAAAAAAAAAAAAAAAAAAAAAAAAAAAAAACTAACAGTCATACTTATTTACAATCAGCCAAGGGAGCTCCGAATGCAGCCCTTTCCCCCACGTGTAGAGGACAAGGCTAGGCTCTAAGAGATCCCAGCGCTACTCTCTCAGCCGCGTCACCGGAATCAGAGTCCAGTGGAGACTAAGAGAGAACACTACAGCCACAGACGCTCATGACAATCATAGTTTCTAGATAGTATTGTACTCATATTTAGGAAAAAAAAAATCGTTATTTTAGATAATTTTTTTATCTATAACTTCAAAATTGTCGATAGTGTTCCAATTTCAAAATACAACATTAAACTTAAGAACTTTCAAAGAAACGTAAGTATTTTATTATTCCAAACAAAATTAAAATCCAAAAAAAAAAATTTAAAGGGAGAAATAGGAAGACCATTTTCAAAAGCGGTTGTTCACTATTCATTCTTAAAGGTTTTATAAATTTGATTTTTTTTTTTAAGATACATTATTTTAGGTTGCTATAGTATAAAGTCATTACTATAAGATTATTAATAATAATTTAACATGGTTGCTAAAAGCAGCTTACGTTGAGGTTGAAGAGAGTCGCTACGACGGGTACCCTGGTCGTCGTCCAGAGGTAGCCGGTGCTGACGAGGTCCTCGATGGTCTCCGGCTTCCAGGTGTACCCGGACCTGGTGAGGTAGGAGGCCAGGCTTCCGGAGAACACGCTCCCGATCAGTAAGGAGAACACTGTCCACCTAAACCATCAGGGTCTTGTCTTATCTCGTTAGTATCCATTAGTAAATTATAGCAAATTCAACTTCACTATCTGATTTACTAGACCATTCTAAAACCTTATAGATTCCACCAAAATATTCTAACCAAAGCCTATTTAATCCTTTATTATGTATCACGTTAGCATCATTGCTTCAATGTTCTTTACATTCTAGACATAAGACTGTCCAAATTGTTAGAAGAAAATTGCTTACATTGAAATTAAATTTTGGACAACGCTAAAGGATCCAGTTCTCTCATCAGACCCAATCTTGATATCACATCAGTTGAGCACCGCTGTTGAGAACTTAAGTGTTAAAAAAATATCCGCCTTCCTTACGATGGTGAGAAGAAATCCTTAAAACCTCTGTAAAAGCATGTTCAAACACAAAGGAGGGTTTTATCTACTTATTCGTTCCTCTAACTCACACTACTAAGTTTCGTAAAAAAATAAATTCTTCTATGAAACTCGTTGAAAAATGACTCGTTTCAGACAATTTTACTGTAGAGAAGTTTCTCTAAAACAATAACATTATTCTCAATCTAAATAGCCCAATTACCTCATTTACTTACTCGATGCTCTATGTGGTTTTCCGCCAATATTTAAGAGAAGAAACATCAAATTGACTGTGCACTCAACTTAGCTGCTAGTAGTCCTTTTTCATTGAGTTTGATAAAAGTATTCCTTTTTAACGGGAACGTTCAAGTGTAGTAAGAGAAACGACTATGCATACAACCCTTAAAAGTTCCGAACTCCTTGGCAACTCGTATACATAACAAATGTACCTGTGTCTTCGGACTTTCATATTTTTCCCACAGTTTACACAACTGGGCTTATCATTGCAGTATGTCTTATTGTGACCAACTTGTTGCCACCGATTACATTGGGCCATCATCTTCTTTCTTTGTTTTTCAATGAATAGAAGATAGAAAATAGAAATATTAAAAAGCATTTTTCTTCCACATTTGTTTTTTGGCATAAAAAACATTGACTGTGGCTCATTTCACAGTCGCACATATATTATACAACTATTGATTAAATAGGAATATTGTTTACATTGCATACAAAGTGTAAATTTAAATACATAGGATTATTATTGTATTATTAATAACTCTTAAATTACGTAGATTATATTAATCACTACTAATCAAATGTTCAATATACGTAGTGTGTGTAGTGTAGTTCTGTTCCATAAAAACTCACACAACAATGAATACTTTAATAACTGGAAAGGGACCATGTGGAAGGTTGAAAATCAAATCAAATCGAATCAACATATAATAGAGCTCCATGCAGATAACTGGAAAGAAATAGCCCAATAGAGGCAGAGATGGAGAGAGCTGTTTCCGTCGGACAAAGATTTACAATGTCTGTAAAGGCATAAGAAAAAAAAAATCCGGTAATTATTTACAAGTGATACTCTTTCGGCCATCTTGGGTGAATCAAGGTTATTCACAATATTTTAGATAAGGTTTACAAAATATAGCACCAAAAAGCCCCACTATTGTGAAGGGGTTGTCTTGTCCCCTCCACCTCACCCACTTTTTAAGTAAATACAGAAATTATATCGTTTAGGTTACCTACCTTTTTTTAAAGTTAGCATTCTTTCTCCACCATTTTCAATTCATAGGAAATAATTATCGATTGAACAAAATTTCCAATTTCCATCTTATCAAGATAATATTATTTATGCTTATAGTTTTTATATATATTCTGTCAATCAAACAGATTTTCAGTCTAATTGGCTACATACTCTCATAAACAATCTGTTTCATTGAAAGAACTTCATTGGCTTAAATTTTGTTTTAATTGTGACACTTTTTCTAAATTTTTATATACTTGCTGGTTGACCATTGTAAATTTTAGATATTTGGATTGTATATATTAAATTTTTAAATACTTGATAGTTGAAGATTGTATATTTTATATTGTATATATTAAAACAAAACTTAAGTTAATTAACTTCTTTAATTTAGGATAAGGAAACCCAAAAGCATTAATAATGATAAATCGCGAAGTTAAAAAAAAACAAAAACAGGCGATATATAATCATAAAAAATATTAGAAATATATAATGAAAAAAAAAAGATGGAGGTAATGAATAATGGAGGTCTATGAATAACATCGAAAATATAAAGTTTGCTTAATCGATATAATGAAGATACAAAAAAATCTACAAGTTAAAAAAAATGCTGCTAATATATATTGTAAAGGTTATATTTGGTAATTATTTGTAATGAACGTAAGGTGGAGGGGACAACAGCTGACAAGACAACACCTACGCAACAGTGGCGCTTCCTGGTGGTGTGTTTTGTAAACCTTATCTGAAACATTGTGGATAACCTGAATTCAACCAAGATGGCCGAAGGAGTACCACTTGTAAATAACTACCAAAAATTCCAATTGAAGAGGATTGGATATATAGAACACAAATTCACATTCTCGCTACTGTTGCGAATAATAGCTTAATAGGGAATTTGATCTTTCGCCAGTTCTTACAATTATCATCAACATCCATTGGTTTTATGGTTCTTTCAGGATCCGTACCAAGCTAAAAAGGAAGTACAAAAAGTACAGACCAGATACAAACATGATGTAACTTCTATGAATGACGAGTTTCAGTGTCAAATAAAAGATAATGAGAAAACAATGGGTATCACACAGCTCGGCCTACCTCACAGAAGTTCCAGGACGACTTAATCATTCCGTATTGTGCTCTATCTCGTTGGAATTAACAATGAATTAATTAACCAAGCCTCTATTTTCGTTCATTGCGACCTGATAGATCATTCGCTACTGACTCATCAAGTTCAGAAACAACCACTTTATCAGTCTGACTCACTAATTCCATAAGCGTTTCGAGTACCTGGAATTCTAGGTTCTATTTTCGGTTTGTTGCTCTACATAATCTAATACACTAATCTATGTGCCTGGAATTTTTTAAAATAAAATTTAATTAAACTACTAGATTTTCAATGAGTAATTTTTTTTATGGTAAGTTTCAAGGAAAAGATCTTGATTTTACATTTTTTTTTAAACCTAAAAAATATTATTTTTAAAATATCCTTGAAAGTTTCATTTAATTAATTAGAAGTTTTAGAACAACCCTCTATTACCAAAACAATAAATATGAATATTGTCCTACACTTCTTCGTTTCTATATTTTTTTTTCAAAAGAAAAATTGCGAAGTGGATTGGAAATATTAACGAATGAAAAATAAACAATAATTATGTTTTCATTTTGTCCAATCTACTTCGAATCTCTTAGATATAAAGTAAACAGTGAGGAAGTTTCTGAAAATATAGAAATCTATTTCTAAAACTTGAAATTACATTACAAATAATGCTCCATTTTGTCACAAGATCCTGTCCACGATCATACTATAAAAGAGAGACCGAAAATCGACATGTCTTTAGTTTAAATCTTTACTTCTAAATCCAAGGTTAAATGCTTAATCATTAAGTACTGTTTCTTGGTCAACAGTTACGCAAGGTGGCAAAATCACTTTCAAACGCTTTTCTCCTTAATTAATAGTATCCGCTTTATAGAGGCTGTGTGTGCCCCTAGGGTCGATCCATAGCTGGTCTAGTAGAATAAATAATTACCTTCCACATCTAGACTCGAACCCGGGACCTGGAGCATAGGAATACAGTGGTTTACTCGTATTACCTTCCTTTATTTATATCGCTATTTACGACTATCTCAAACTCCTTGATGGTGTTGTCACCTCCGTCTACTTTCGGACACACTCGGTCATATTCGGAATTACATTTGTAATGTGATCAAGTGCCCACTCATCAGAGTGGACTATCAATAAATTCTTTAATTAAAAATAATATTGACATAAAGAAACTGACCAGGCTATGAGATGCCTGCACGGACCCTGGCTGTGCGTGCTCCTCATCCAATCCCCTTGCAGCAGCATCCCCGCCAGCAGTATCCAACTTCTTTTAAACGTGAGGTAACCTAGAATAGATTTTAGAATTGGATCATTTAGTGAACTTTATGAAAAATACATATATAATAGAAATCCTAAAACGATTTTTCCCCGTAATATTTATTTTATTTATAATGTTTTAGGCTCTTCAACGACCTGGTTCATTTTCGCCCTATATTACAATTGTAGCAACCACTACATATGCATATATAACAAAACTACAGCTAAAAAATACAATTTAAAATTTATAAAGTTAAAAATAATAACAGATGGATACGAGAGTACAATTGAATTAAAGTTAGAAAAATTGAAAGTTAAAACATTAAAAGGAGAAAAGTTAAGAAAGACAATTAAAATAAAGTTTAATGATTTTAAGAACAAAAGGATACTATGAGTTTTTAAAAAATAAAAATTAATATTAATAGAAGAGAAGTTAAAAAGCACAGTTTAAATTTTAAAAAGTACAAGAAGAAAAGTTGAAAAAACATTAAAATTAAATATTAAAAATTAAAAAAAGATGACTTAACAAAGACATTTAAATAAAACGTTAATGATTTCTAGAATATAATCTAAAAATACGGTTTAAAAAGTAAAATTAATATTAAAACAAGAAAAGATAAAAAGTAAAATTTAGATATAAAAAAATACAAGAAAAAAAATTGAAAAACCATTATAATTAAAACTAAGATTAAAAGAAGAAAATTAATAGTCATATTTACAATTTGAAGAGGAACCTACAATCTTAAAAAACTTTTTTTTATTATTATTATTTATGAAATTTACAACTGTACAAATTAATATACATTCAGCAAATGTGATACAAAGAAAAGTGTGACATGACAAGGCTTGTAGATAAACTACCCAAAGTTAGCATTCTAATAAGTTAGGAGATCACGAGGCTATTTTCTTTTCAGACGCCTCGGAGGGTTATCAGGAATCGAGGAGGAAGCAAGGTTAGAAACGAGAGGATTAGGATGGTTATGAAGTTTGTTATGGAAGGATAGGAATCTGGATTGGGCCAAATCGGGAACATTTGGAACATTCAGGTCATTATGAATTATTTTACTTGTTACAAAGTAAGGAGCATTAAGGATTTTACGAAGGATTTTGAATTGTAAAGATTGCATACGATAGGAATTCGATGGTTTCTTGCAGCCCCAAAGCTCTTAAAAAACTTAACAGCTATATTTACAATTATAAGATGTGATTAAATTTTTTACAAATTTGTAGATATAATTACAATTTTGTGAAATATTTTGATTTCCTTAAGGAACAATATTAAGTTTTTAATAGCATTGGGGTCTTTTTGGAATGATTCTTCAAGGCTGTTTCTGAAAAAATGTTGATCCCTAAGAGATTTGAATGCATAACATTCGTTTAGGATATGGTTCACTATGAGAGGTACCCCGCAGAAAATACATTGTATAGGAGAGTCTTTCCTCATCACATACTCGTGGGTAAGCCTAGTATGTCCGATCCTTAGTCGGGTCAGTACCACTTCTTCCCTTCTGGTAGGCTGGATATTTGGAGTGACTTTCCGGACGTATGGCAAGACTTCCCATTATAAATAACGATAATAATATCAATGCATTGTTAAAAGTGAATTTTCTACAAAACAATTTGTTTATAATTGAAAATATTTTCGCTCTTATACTGTAAATACATCCGATTACCTCTAATTATCATCAGGTTTCAATATCATTAGCATAAAGACATACAGATGATATTAACTTTATATGCACAGATCCATAGAAAGATAGACCAAGTAGTGTAAAAGAAATAAACTGCAGAGTGGATAATCATTCTCAATGTATTTTTAATCGTGCTGCAATTAAAAAAAAAAAAAGAAACGCACTTGTTGAAAGCCCAAGAGGTGTGAATCAGCTAATGGGTACTTCATGGTTCCATAAGGGTAATTTTAATGGATTCCATAATTGCCATTGCAGAGTAAACAACGAACGCGTTAATTATAAGAACAGAGTATATTGAGGGAACTTATGTCGTTCACAGAGACCCTCAAAATCTAGCAGTACCGACCATCTTCTTAACGATGGCTGAAACCTGGATGTTTTCTTGGAGAGCAAGCTTAATTTTGTCGCTCCACCTTCCTCGTTTAATAAAAGCTTTAATTAATTTAGTCATCATTTATTAGGAGACAACTTGTTATTCACCTCAAGTTGTATAAAGATTTTATACCCTATCATCTAAAATTACCCACATTATCAGCAAAAATTATTATAATAAATTATGACAAAGCTTTAATCTGTTTTATCAAAGCACTGGGGCGTATAATAATAAATATAGATCCATAAATACATTTTTATTTCTGGAAAAATAATGATATTTCACTTATTCACCATATTTTTTTCTAATTTTATTTCTTAATGATATTTACAACTGTATTAAATAAATAAATCTAGTAAATTTGAACATATGGATATAATGACATGAAAACACTTGCTGAGTAACTACCCAATGGTAGCATTCTAATGATATGTCTATATTAGGAGATCATGGGGCCATCTTCTTTTCAGACGCCACGGAGGGTTATCAGGAATTGAACAGGAAGCAAGATTAGAAACGAGAGGGTTGGGATGATTCTGAAGTTTACTATGGAAGGATAGGTATTTTGATTGGACCAGATCGGAAACATATGGTACATTAAGGTCATTATGGATGGTTTTATTTGTAACAAAGAAGGGAGCATTGAGCATTTTACGAAGGATTTTGGATTGTAAGTATTGGATAAGAGAGGAATTCGATGGTTTAGTGGAGCCCCATAATATTCACCATCTAAACTGATAATGAAAATGTGTTTTTTACTAAGATCTCTATTACTAGAATTTATCCGTATTTAAAAGTGAGAAACTAAATGTTTCTGTTTCTAGTACTTACATTTTTAAGAAAATAATTGAAGCAATCAGCAGGTGTCTTTGTTTTAAACGTAAATTTCAGAATTTTTCACTAGAAGCAGTTATTTCGTTACTTTACTTGGTCTTTGTCGTAAATTAAAGGCAATCTCCACTCATCTAATCTTCCATTCTATTCCTGTTCCCATAATCTTACGCAACTGCGTTGACCTATAATTGGCCAAAGTATAGGTCGGCCAACCGTCATTGTCTGTATGCTAAATAGAGTTTGGTTTTCTTGACATCGTCTTTCATAGCTCCTAAAACGGGTCGTATAGTTCTGGCATACCCTCCTTCAAAATCCCTGCCCTTCCATTATTACTCCATGGATACACAGAAGGATTTTTCTTTCGTGAACAAGGAGTGCCTCTTTGTCAGTTTTGGCCAACGTCCGTGACTCCATGCGTTAGCACAGGACGCATCAAGGTTTTGTTCAGTTGAGCGTTCGTAATCCGGCAAACCAGCCTTTATAAGGAAAAGATTCGAATTTATGATCGAACCAACAGCGTACTTCATTTGATACATTTCTTACAGTTATTGCATTACCGATATATATGAATTTATTCACATTTTAAGGCGAACGAATCGTTCTAAGGCTTTGTCTGCCTCTTTCGCGACCATGCCTTTCATAGTAGGAAGTTAACTAAGTATCTCATAATTTTTCTACTAAGAAATAAATAATATAAATGTAATTATTAAATACTTTGACGCAAAATTTGATGGTCTACAACTTTGATTCTATGGGTTTTTCGTCTAAGGGAACTGATTTCCAAGTTACAGGGATTAGTAATTGAGATTAGTTAGTTACCATTTATAGTAATTTGTCTCAGTTTTTGACTAATTTAGTAAAGCGTTGGTTGTTCGTGGCTTTGCACCTTACCACGCAACCAAATTATAAAGTTTAGGTACTCACTTGGCGCAAAATGTAACGTTCTTTAATTTATTAAAGAATACATTTTTCGCTTTGACGCATAGTATAGGAGTTATAGGAGAAAAAAAAAAAAGATCGATGAAATCTGACTTTTTGGCTGCAAAAAGCTTTTCCTTGGTGGCCCGCATAGCAATTTTGTTTTTTACAAGTCTAAACCCATATATACAAGTTAAAAAAATAAAAACTTTTCTCACATTTTTCGCAATGGATTTCTCTTTTCGATCCTCAAATAATTGGCCTAATATTCTTTAAATCAGCCGCCATTTTTTAAAGCTGCGGCTCTGGAACGGCAGACAAGGTTTTCTTTTTACTCAGAATAACATACACTTTCGTAATTTACAATCAAACCTTCGACTGCGATCACGTCGATTTTTGGGCGCTTGCTCCTGGGCTAATAGAATATTTATTTTATTTAAGAAAGGCATATTGCAGCAAATAGAGCTCATGAGAAAAGATGTATTGTTAAATACACTAAGTATAGTTTAATTAGTCATAAACTAGTATATCTAATATTTTACTTAATTTTTGGTATGTATTGCACAAATTATTTTATATCATTTTTTATTCGTTCATCTTGCAAATGAAAGGCACGAACGTATATCATATACAACTTTATTTTATAATAGTAAATTATATTTCTTGAGGAAAGAGATCGTCCAGGATGACGGTCGTAAAAAAAATTAAAATAGTGGAAAAACTATTTTGTTTTCAGCCAAAGTTTCGAACCAACTATACAGGTCAGGGGTAGAACGGACAAGATACAAAGGATATAAAAAATTGCAGAAGTTGCAAGATAATAAGAGCTACGATAGAAGGACCATTGCTTTCATCAATATCATACCAAGCACGATCAACCATTGGGAATTCTAAATTCCAATTTTTTGTAGAATGATTCCTAACCAGTTAAGACTTACGTAAAGAAAAATTATTTTTCGATTTGATACCGCACAATCGTACTATATTATTACTAACATTATTATTATTACTAAAAAACTAATATTTTACCATACGAAGAGTTCATAATGAAAGATTTTTTTTTTTTTTGAAACGTTTATCTTGAAAACCAAAAGGACCAAGGCGGTATTCGCAACTCCAACATAATATTTAACTAGCATAACACTTAACTCAAATATTTGCAAGGACGAAAGATACAGAAGCAAACAAATAAGTTGGACGATGAAAATGCAAA